GGTCCCAGACACCCACTCACTGGTCCTGCTGCCCTGCCTCCCTAGCACTGGGGTCCCTGTCCCCTCAAGGCTTCCAAAAAGCACGCAGCCACTGGGTCCCACAGGGAAAAACGTGCGATATTCTTTGTCTTCAGGAGCCAGTCCCAGGCACCCACTCACCGGTTCTGTTGCTCTGCCTCCCTAGCACCATGGTCCCTGTCCCTTTAAGGCTTCCAAAAAGCACTCGCCAAAAATAGAAAAATAAAAGGGGAAAAACGTGTGATTTCCTCCATCCTCAGGTGCCAGTCTCAGGCACCCGTCCACCGGTCCCGCAGGGAAAAAAGCACAATATTCTTTGTCCTCAGGCACCTGTCCCAGGCACCCACTCACCAGTCCTGCTGCTCTGCCTCCCTAGCACCAGGGTCCCTGTCCCTTTAAGGCTTCCAAAAAGTACTCACCAAAAAGAGAAAAAAAAAAAGGGGAAAAACGCGCGATTTCCTCCGTCCTCAGGTGCCGGTCTCAGGCACCCGCCCACCAGTCCCACAGGGAAAAACGCACGATATTCTTTGTCCTCAGGCGCCGGTCCCAGGCACCCGCTCACCGGTCCTGCTGCTCTGCCTCCCTAGCACCGGGGTCCCTGTCCCTTTAAGGCTTCCAAAAAGCACTCGCCAAAAAGAGAAAAAAATGGGGAAAAACGCGCGATTTCCTCCGTCCTCAGGCCCCGGTCTCAGGCACCCACCCACCAGTCCCGCAGAGAAAAATGTGGGGTATTCTTTGTCCTCAGGCGCCAGTCCCAGGCACCCGCTCACCAGTCCCGCCACCCTGCCTCCCTAGCAACGGGGGCCCTGTCCCTTTAAGGCTTCCAAAAAGCACTCGCCAAAAAAAAAACCGCTCCGGTTTCTTTCCACCTGCCGGGAGCCGGGGGGAGGGGCGCTCGGGTCCTGCCGGGCCGGGGCTTGTATCTTTTTTGGTAGTGTCTTTGCCTGGTTTTGGTATTAGGATGATGCTCGCCTCGTAGAATGAATTTGGGAGTATTCCCTCCTCTTCTACTTTTTGGAAAACTTTAAGGAGGATGAGTATTAGGTCTTCACTAAATGTTTAATAAAATTCAACAGAGAAGCCATCTAGTTCAGGGATTTTGTTCTTAGGTAGTTTTTTGATTACTGATTCAGTTTTGTTGCTGGTAATTGGTCTGTTCAGATTTTCTGTTTCTTTTTGAGTCAGTCTTGGAAGGTTGTATTTTTCTAGAAAGTTTTTCATTTCTTCTAGGTTATCCAGTTTGTTAGCATATAATTTTTCATAGTAGTCTCTCATAATTCTTTGTATTTCTGTGGTGTCCATAGTGATTTTTCCTCTCTCATTTCTGATTCTGTTTATGTGTGTAGACTCTCTTTTCTACTTGGTAAGTCTGGCTAAGGGTTTATCTATTTTGTTTATTTTCTTGAAGAACCAGCTACTGCTTTCATTGATTCTTTCTATTGTTTTATTCTTCTCTATTTTATTTATTTATGCTTTTATCTTTATTATTTCCCTCCTTCTACTGATTCTGGGCCTCATTTGTTCTTCTTTTTCTAGTTTCATTAATTGTGAGTTAGACTGTTCATATGGGATTGTTCATCTTTCCTGAGGTAGGCCTGTACTACAAGGATCCCATTTTTGTTTTGTTGTTCACAAGAGGACTCTGTCTGACAAAGAGGGGCTGGAAAAATATTTAATCAGCCCTCAGCACAGAAGGAGGAGAGGAGACATACGGCAGAGGGAGAAATGCCTTTTGGGTACAGAATGATTTTTTCTGTTGTTAACATATATATAACAAAATTTACCATTTTAACCATTTCAACTGTGTAGTTCAGTGACATTAAGCACATTCACATTATGCCACCATTGCCACCATACATCCACAGAACTTTTTCATCTTCCAGAAGCCCTATACCCATTACACACTAACTCCCTGCTCCCCTCCCCACAACCTCTATTCTACTTTTTGTCTCCACGAGTTTAACAACTCCAGGAACCTTGATTAAATGGAATAATACAATATTTGTCTCGTGACTGCTTTATTTCACTTGGCATAATGTCTCAAAGTTCAACCGTGTTGGGGCGTGTATCAGAATATCCTTCCTTTTCAGGGTAGAATATCCATTGTGTGTATAAACCACATTTTCTGTCTATCCATTCATCCTCCAGTGACACATGAGATTCTTCTACCTTTTGGATATTGTGAGTAAATGCTGTTCTGAACATGTGTGTACAAACATCTATTCAAGTCCTTGCTTTCAATTCCTTTGGGTGTGTGTGTGTGTGTGTGTGTGTGTGTGTGTGTGTGTGTGTGTACACCTAGAAGTGGAATTACTGGATAATGTGTTAATTCTACACATGACTTTTAAATGAGTCTTTAACCCCATATTTTGGCATGATAGTATGTACCCAGAAGTACTGGAAGAGCAAGGCCATTAGACGTGTAGGGGAAGGAGTGGAGGGCCGCTCCGTTGTAAGGAGCTTATCCTCTCATTTACCAACAGGTGACCCCTGCCCAGTCCCGTCCCCAGATTTTCTCCCCATGTCAGCCCCCTGCCTCTGCATCAGCCCACGTCCCCAACTCCCCAGGGTCCTCTGTCCACTGTCGCCCAGCATGACTCAGCACACACAATGGTTTCATCTGGTGCCCAGCCAGTGAAATGGTATCTGCTGTCACTGAGCCAAGCTCTGCTCTCCCATTCATGGGGCACATATTTGGTTGTCCCAGGAAAATGACCATGATGACTTGCCTCACCTCCTGACTCGGGAACATAAATCCTGATGGTGCATGCTTGGGCATTTTTCCAGAGGTGGCCTGACCTTCCTCCCCTTTCAAGCTTCATCGCTCAGAAGAACCGCCCACCGTCCACAAGCAGAAGCCAGACAAGTGCAGCACCCCTGCCCAGGCATGCTGTCTGCCTCACTTGCCTGCTGCCTTGCTTTTGCTTGCACCGGTTTCCCTCCCCAGAGCCCCAGCTTACTTAGCATGTTCACATCTGATTTCCCCTTAAAGGGCACTTCCTGAATTTGCCTGGATCCTTTCTAGCTTGAAGGGGTCCCAGCTGTCGCATAGACCCCATCCTACCTTCTACTCCAGTGCCCAGACCAGCAGTTCCCAGAGCACCCTTCCTGCACCAGGAGCCTGTCCATCACCTGTGGAGGGACAGAAGGAGTGCTGGAATGCAAGTCCCAGGCTTGCCCCAGACCTTCTGATTCAGGAACTCAGGCTGGAACAGGTATCTGCCCTACTGGAGTAGGCAGTGCTGACCTCACTGGGCTCCTAGAAGGACTGAATGGGTTGACCCCTAAGAATCAGGAGTGATGAAGTCTGACAATCTTGCTTTCCTTTTTCTTTTTTCTTAAATTGAGGCATAATTAACAGCAAAGTGCACAAATAACCCATATTCTCTTCTGCCGTGAGGTTGCACCTAGGTTTGTGACCCCCAATCAACAGCCCACTGCTTCCCCCAGCCTCCAAGGAGCCACTGCCCCAATCCCACCACACTGGTTTGTTTTGCGGATTTTTGCATGTCCTTTTCCTGGGAACTTGCACCTCCTGCCGTTCTGTGTCTGGATTCTCTTGTCCAACTTTGTGAGGCTCATCTGGGTTGCGGCCTTTGCCGGGTCGTGTCTTTCGTTGCATGGTGCGGATGCACCACACGTCATCAGGTCTCCTGCTGGAGCGCACTTGTTTCCGGCTTGTATGGAAGGCAAAGCAGCACGTGTTTCTCCTGGGTGCCTGACCTTTCCACCTGTCCGTGCTTTCTGTCCCCTGCTCCTAAATTCCCAAGGGCAATGCGTTGCCCTCCATCGTCTGTAGCCTTCTATCCAGCACTTCCGTGGAGCCCAAGTCCTAACATGGCCCAGTCTCCCCAGCTGAGGGAGCTGTTCCTCCAGCTCAGCCAGGAGTCAGTCAGTCCTGCCTGCTGAGCACGTTGACCCAGAAGGCCTGTGGCGGGTGTGGTTTTGCTGTTCTGGGACCCAGGCTGATGGCATTCCGCTGGTGTCATTTCTGGGGGGCTGGGTGACTCTGCACATAGCAGAAGTGTAAAAAAATCTTCTGACAACCCCATAAATGCTTTTTCCCCTGATGGAGCAGCTGTACTGTGTCCTCCCCAGCACGGTTTTCAAACGGGAGAGCTTTTGTGCATTGTTGCACAGCTGGCTGGTTTTCAAGCGGGGGTGGCAGACATTTGTGTGAAATAGTGGGCAGAGTTGTCTACATGCCAACAGGAAGGTCACCCTAGTCAGATGACAGGGTGCAGAGGTTGGACGGAGATGCAACTGCAGGCAGCAGGCCACCTTCCTGAGGCCGGGAATGACCCAGCCAGGCAGCCGGGGCAGGGAGGCTTCTTCAAACCACCCCAGCTTGGTTGGCCACTTCTGGCACCAGCTACCCCGGCTGCACCCCCACAGACCAGAGAGAGCCCCAGGAATCCAGGAATGAGGGGCAGGTTGAGAAGAGAGGTGAGTAGCACCAGGTACCCTCCCCTACTGAGTCACAGGAAGGGAATGGAAACAGGGTGTGGGCTGAAGCTGGGACGTCCCAGTCCCGCCCTCTCTTCCCGGCCTCACCTGGCTCAGAGGTGAGGCCCACCCGCCAAGCCCCAGGAGGGCTCTCTCTGGGGACAAAGGCCCTGCTGCCTCCACTGGGCTGCAGGGAGAGGAGCTGGGAGGGCAGGAAGGAGTCAGGCTAGCCCTCCAGCCAGACTCTCTGACCCAAGCCTGGGATGCTGGGAGGCATCTCTCAAAGGAAGTTGTGAAATCGTCCTTGGAACTAACTCGGGTTTTGGTCTGGGGCCAACCAGGCCTATATTTATGGCTCTGAGGATGTTTTCAAGTGATCAACATTCCTTCTGAGACATTGTTCAGTGGAAGCTGAGCTCCGAGGCCCCACACCCCCCTTGGGGGAGCCTGCTCAGCTTTCAAATTCGGGAAGGAAATGGTTGGCAGCAAATAGGACCATGGGCTGATTTTCTTGTGAACAAGTCCCCGTAACTTTTGTTGAGTGCGTAGTATTGGGGGCGCCTGGTTCTGAGCACCTTTCCTGCGTAGCACCTGCACTCCTCACAAAGATCCCTTTCACAGAAGAGGAAGCCAAGGATGTGGAGAGCCAGGAGCCCAGCCGGGCTGGCACAGCAAGCAAGCAGCTGACTCGGAGCTTGACCCAGGCAGTGGGGTGGCACCCTCGCTGACACAGGCTGACTGCTTTCCCTGTACTGTCCCAGCCCTTCCCAGGCATTGACTCATGTTAATTCTCACAACCACCAAAAATTGATAAGAAAAATGGGGTGACACACTGAGAAAAACCAGCAAAGTTTGCAAACAGATGGTGCACAAAAGAAAGAGACGAAGCAAGTATACCTGTAATCAAAGAAAACAATAAGGTCCACTGGGGACATCTCAGCTTCACAAGTGTTTTAATGATTTATAATAACCCCAAGCTTGCTGGGAAGTGGGGAGCAGGTGCCTGCCACCCGTGGGTGTGCCCATGGGTACAGCCTTTCTGGAATGCTGGAACGCTGCTTGGCAGGACCTACCAAATGCCTTTAGAAGCCGGCAGTCCTCCCCAGAGTTCTCCCTCCTCAGAACCTTCCTGAAGAGACTGGTGGGAGGCGCAGCAGAGATGAACGTATAAAGCTGCTCATCACAGCATTATTGGCAATGGTGATAAAGTAGAAAAACATAAATTTCAACAAAGCAGAATAGTTACAGAAATTGTGAGCTGGGCCATTTAAATGAGGATGTTTTTGTGGCACAGTAAAATGCTCATAATATAATGTTACACGAAAAGGACAGGAGACAAAACTGTATTTTGGAAGGGTGATGTGATTGCCTGTGAGCCAGTTCAGGAGTGGGGGTGCCTCCTTAAGAGGACTAAGTGACTAGTCCCAGCAGGACAGGGACACCAGCTTCCAGGCATGTGCCTTGTGAATGGCTGGAATCTCTATTGTGTGCATGAATTATTTTAAAATTTCCTATTCTGAAATAATTTGGAACCTACAGAAGATTTACAAGAATAAAAAAAGAACTTCTACATGGAGTTCACCTAGACTCACCATTATTAAAGCTTTGTAACATTTATATTCTCTCTCATTCTTTATGGTAATATATAGTATAACAATATATTACATCTTATGCATTTGTTATATATGTTGATACGTTGTACATAATATGTTATAATTACGTATAATGATGTATGTCCATGATACAAAGTTGTTTTCCTGGGCCATTTGTGAGGAGACCCCACACTGCATGCCTTTCACCCCTACTTATTTCAGTGTGATCTCAGGATACTAAGGTCAAGGACATTTTCTTGACCATGGTGACTGAACTCAGAAATCTAGCATAAGTCTTTATAGGCTACAGCCCATATTCAAATTCTGCCACACATCTCAACAGTGCCCTTGATAGAAACCCCCGCCAGGAGCAGGGACCACACGGCGCCTTTTGTCATCTTTTGTCTCCCTTAATCCCCTAACAGCTCCTCAGCCTTTCTTTGTTTATCATGATTTGATTTTTCTAAGGAGTATAGACAGCTGCTTGCATACTGTCCCTACTTTGGGTTTGTTTGCTGTCTTCCTGTGCTTAGATTCACGCTGTGCACCCCCAGGACGTCTCAGTGGTGGTGGGTGTCCTTCCTTGTGTCTCATATCAACCGTCACCCAGAGTTGCATCTCATCACTGGTGACAATTTCATCTCTTGCATCAGGTGGAAACCAGCCGTTTCTCTGGTGTAAAGGAGGTAAGCATTCCTTTTGTCATTAGAAAGTAATTTCTCAGTGGTATTTCTGTGTAAATATCCTGTTCCCACACTTTTACTCATGCCTGAACAGCCATTGAATACCTGAGTCAGTTATTATTATGATGGTTGCAAGTGTGTATTACTTTTATATTTTAAAGCAAACCTTATTTTTGGAAAATTAGTGATTTTTCCATTTAAAAAAGCTGGAGGGTAGATGAATGAGACTGGAAAAGTATTGACAGTGGGTGAGCCTGGGGGATGAGTGCCCTGGTATAATTATACTATTCTCTCCAGTTTTATGTATTTGAAAATTTCCATAATAAAAGTTTAAAAAAAGTTATTTCACCCTAATTATATTCATACTAACATGTTTCATGACAACATATTGTTGTCTTCAACTTAATCTGAAATGCATCAGAAAATAAGATAACTAGATGGAGAGAGGCCTGGATAATGGGTAGAGATGCGAGCAGCAAGCAGAGGCGGGGGTTGCAGGGTCAGGTGGTGAGTGCGTGAGGGCACTGCGTGTGATTCTGGCAACCGCTCTGTATGTTTGAGATCTGCCATCATAAAATTTTGGGGGGAAAGTGAGTCACACAGCAAGGCCTCCAGGAGAACAGGAAGGTCAAGTTCAGGGGGACCCCATCCTCTTATCCCCTTAGTTGCTGAGGTTCCTTCAGGGCCCCCTGCCATTTCTCCATTTCTCAGTTTCCTCAGAGGTGGCCTTTGTTTTTCCAGCCCATCTTTGGTGGGACTCAAACTCAGCCCTGCCCCACAGAAAGAAGGACACTGAATAGTCATTCATACAAATTCATCCAACATGGAGGGTCTTCTTGGGCAAAGCTGTCAGGCCTGGGTGCTTCCTTGGGTGCCAGTGGCCTCTGGCTGGTCTGTCCTGTGGACCTGCCTCTAGCCTGGGCATGTGCCGCATAAAAGGGCACAAGAGAGATATTTAACCATAGCACATTAAGACAACTGTCTGTACGCATTCCGTCTTCCCTTCACCCTTCCCCTGCCATGGGTGCTGTTGGGCAGCGCAGGCATTCGAAGACTGATGGGTGCTCCAGGGAGGCCAGCTGGGGCTCGGGTTTCACAGGCGCTCTGTTGTGGAGGGAAGTTGTTTCAAGCCATCTTAGTGTGGGATCGGCTTCCAGTGATCCTTCCAGGGCTGACCCAGCTGCCTGGGCCGTGGGTAGGACACAAGCTCAGGGCCAGGGGTGGAGTCCTGTGGTGCAGGGTGGCATGCCAGTCATTGGGAAGAAGCAGGGTTGAAATGCAGGGAGTCTCATTGGTCAAGGATGTAAAGGTGCCAACAGTCCACCTATCCTGCCCCACGCTCTGCTCAGGTCCCCGGGAAATGAAGGCCATAGCTACTTCCCCCACTCTGCAGACATGGCTGATCCCAGGTCACTGCCTACCTTGAATGTCCCGTTTCTCATCTTAGGATTGCCTCCTGAGAGTGGAATATGTGTTTATGGAGGGAAGACTGCAAAGAAGAGCATCTTCTGGGAGAGTGCATGTGCTCTTTCCCCATCCTGCCTGCTTTGAAAACTCTTTCCTTGCTCTGGGAGCTTCATACTCAACACATCACACTGACTTCAGTATAATAGGGGATATGAGTTTGGCAATAAAGTCAGACTTCAAAATGAAGGCTTTAAAACCAGTTACCACCTCCTGAACGGGACCTAGGGCAAGTCATTTAGCTCTGGGAGCCTCAGTTTCCCAACCTGTAAAATGGAAGTACCATAATACTACATCATAAAGGTTTCTGGGATTACATGTGATGCATAGATAGCAAAGCATAGATGTGCTTAGTCCAGAGCCTGGCACATAGACCCTGCACAGTACATGTTACCTATTGTGTCAGTATTATTGTTTAGTGTTTTTATTAATGTTATGCACAACACTGCTGGGAAGAAATTTGTAGCACATTATAAGCCCTCCATACACATGGGAAGGCAGGGAAGAAGCAAGGAGCAGGCGAAGGGAAGGGAGGTATCTTGGTCACAGTCCCCAGAAGCAGACCCTGATTCGTGTGGCAACAGTGACTTAAAGAAGAGCACCCTGAGGGGCAGACAGAGAGAGGAAGAAGCCAGCAGGGCTGTGAGCCCAGGCCCCCAACCCAGGGCACTGAGCCACATCCCAGGGTTTCCCAGCCTGAGCTAGGATGCTGGGCTTTCATACTCTGCCACCTGTCAGTCAGCATCTAAGGGCCATCCTGAGGGGACACTTCCAGCCCTCTGCAAGGAGGGACAAACAGCTCCAGTAGTCTGAGCACAGCCCTCTCCAAGGAATCTCAGGTGCAGACAGAAGCCAAAACACACTCAGGCCAGGGCAGGGGTACATGGAAACCTGGCATAGGACCCAGGCAGATCATGAACAGGAGCTGCTCCAGGACAGAGGAGTGTATCCTGAATTAAGGTACAGGAAACTGAAGCTTCAACAAACATGTATTCATATATACTACCTGTCCTTGAAACTTGCTCTTTTCAGTTAGCATTTTCTCTAGGAGACCATCCCAGATCAGCCTAGGGAAAGCAGCCTCATTCTTGGGAAATACCTGCAGTGGGCATTGACTGCATATGTTATTATAGGGCTCATTGTCCTCTATTGATGGGTGTTTAAGTTGTTTCCAATCTTTTGCTATTACTGAAAATGTAATATATACTGCAATAAATATCCTCGTACTACTGTCATTCATACATATGCAAAAATGTTGGTGACTGAACTCAGAAATCTAGCATAAGTCTTTATAGGCTACAGCCCATATTCAAATTCTGCCACACATCTCAACAGTGCCCTTGATAGAAACCCCCGCCAGGAGCAGGGACCACACGGCGCCTTTTGTCATCTTTTGTCTCCCTTAATCCCCTAACAGCTCCTCAGCCTTTCTTTGTTTATCATGATTTGATTTTTCTAAGGAGTATAGACAGCTGCTTGCATACTGTCCCTACTTTGGGTTTGTTTGCTGTCTTCCTGTGCTTAGATTCACGCTGTGCACCCCCAGGACGTCTCAGTGGTGGTGGGTGTCCTTCCTTGTGTCTCATATCAACCGTCACCCAGAGTTGCATCTCATCACTGGTGACAATTTCATCTCTTGCATCAGGTGGAAACCAGCCGTTTCTCTGGTGTAAAGGAGGTAAGCATTCCTTTTGTCATTAGAAAGTAATTTCTCAGTGGTATTTCTGTGTAAATATCCTGTTCCCACACTTTTACTCATGCCTGAACAGCCATTGAATACCTGAGTCAGTTATTATTATGATGGTTGCAAGTGTGTATTACTTTTATATTTTAAAGCAAACCTTATTTTTGGAAAATTAGTGATTTTTCCATTTAAAAAAGCTGGAGGGTAGATGAATGAGACTGGAAAAGTATTGACAGTGGGTGAGCCTGGGGGATGAGTGCCCTGGTATAATTATACTATTCTCTCCAGTTTTATGTATTTGAAAATTTCCATAATAAAAGTTTAAAAAAAGTTATTTCACCCTAATTATATTCATACTAACATGTTTCATGACAACATATTGTTGTCTTCAACTTAATCTGAAATGCATCAGAAAATAAGATAACTAGATGGAGAGAGGCCTGGATAATGGGTAGAGATGCGAGCAGCAAGCAGAGGCGGGGGTTGCAGGGTCAGGTGGTGAGTGCGTGAGGGCACTGCGTGTGATTCTGGCAACCGCTCTGTATGTTTGAGATCTGCCATCATAAAATTTTGGGGGGAAAGTGAGTCACACAGCAAGGCCTCCAGGAGAACAGGAAGGTCAAGTTCAGGGGGACCCCATCCTCTTATCCCCTTAGTTGCTGAGGTTCCTTCAGGGCCCCCTGCCATTTCTCCATTTCTCAGTTTCCTCAGAGGTGGCCTTTGTTTTTCCAGCCCATCTTTGGTGGGACTCAAACTCAGCCCTGCCCCACAGAAAGAAGGACACTGAATAGTCATTCATACAAATTCATCCAACATGGAGGGTCTTCTTGGGCAAAGCTGTCAGGCCTGGGTGCTTCCTTGGGTGCCAGTGGCCTCTGGCTGGTCTGTCCTGTGGACCTGCCTCTAGCCTGGGCATGTGCCGCATAAAAGGGCACAAGAGAGATATTTAACCATAGCACATTAAGACAACTGTCTGTACGCATTCCGTCTTCCCTTCACCCTTCCCCTGCCATGGGTGCTGTTGGGCAGCGCAGGCATTCGAAGACTGATGGGTGCTCCAGGGAGGCCAGCTGGGGCTCGGGTTTCACAGGCGCTCTGTTGTGGAGGGAAGTTGTTTCAAGCCATCTTAGTGTGGGATCGGCTTCCAGTGATCCTTCCAGGGCTGACCCAGCTGCCTGGGCCGTGGGTAGGACACAAGCTCAGGGCCAGGGGTGGAGTCCTGTGGTGCAGGGTGGCATGCCAGTCATTGGGAAGAAGCAGGGTTGAAATGCAGGGAGTCTCATTGGTCAAGGATGTAAAGGTGCCAACAGTCCACCTATCCTGCCCCACGCTCTGCTCAGGTCCCCGGGAAATGAAGGCCATAGCTACTTCCCCCACTCTGCAGACATGGCTGATCCCAGGTCACTGCCTACCTTGAATGTCCCGTTTCTCATCTTAGGATTGCCTCCTGAGAGTGGAATATGTGTTTATGGAGGGAAGACTGCAAAGAAGAGCATCTTCTGGGAGAGTGCATGTGCTCTTTCCCCATCCTGCCTGCTTTGAAAACTCTTTCCTTGCTCTGGGAGCTTCATACTCAACACATCACACTGACTTCAGTATAATAGGGGATATGAGTTTGGCAATAAAGTCAGACTTCAAAATGAAGGCTTTAAAACCAGTTACCACCTCCTGAACGGGACCTAGGGCAAGTCATTTAGCTCTGGGAGCCTCAGTTTCCCAACCTGTAAAATGGAAGTACCATAATACTACATCATAAAGGTTTCTGGGATTACATGTGATGCATAGATAGCAAAGCATAGATGTGCTTAGTCCAGAGCCTGGCACATAGACCCTGCACAGTACATGTTACCTATTGTGTCAGTATTATTGTTTAGTGTTTTTATTAATGTTATGCACAACACTGCTGGGAAGAAATTTGTAGCACATTATAAGCCCTCCATACACATGGGAAGGCAGGGAAGAAGCAAGGAGCAGGCGAAGGGAAGGGAGGTATCTTGGTCACAGTCCCCAGAAGCAGACCCTGATTCGTGTGGCAACAGTGACTTAAAGAAGAGCACCCTGAGGGGCAGACAGAGAGAGGAAGAAGCCAGCAGGGCTGTGAGCCCAGGCCCCCAACCCAGGGCACTGAGCCACATCCCAGGGTTTCCCAGCCTGAGCTAGGATGCTGGGCTTTCATACTCTGCCACCTGTCAGTCAGCATCTAAGGGCCATCCTGAGGGGACACTTCCAGCCCTCTGCAAGGAGGGACAAACAGCTCCAGTAGTCTGAGCACAGCCCTCTCCAAGGAATCTCAGGTGCAGACAGAAGCCAAAACACACTCAGGCCAGGGCAGGGGTACATGGAAACCTGGCATAGGACCCAGGCAGATCATGAACAGGAGCTGCTCCAGGACAGAGGAGTGTATCCTGAATTAAGGTACAGGAAACTGAAGCTTCAACAAACATGTATTCATATATACTACCTGTCCTTGAAACTTGCTCTTTTCAGTTAGCATTTTCTCTAGGAGACCATCCCAGATCAGCCTAGGGAAAGCAGCCTCATTCTTGGGAAATACCTGCAGTGGGCATTGACTGCATATGTTATTATAGGGCTCATTGTCCTCTATTGATGGGTGTTTAAGTTGTTTCCAATCTTTTGCTATTACTGAAAATGTAATATATACTGCAATAAATATCCTCGTACTACTGTCATTCATACATATGCAAAAATGTCCCTGCAGGATAAATTCTAGGAATGCATTTTTAGGCCAAAAGGCATGTGCATTTAAAAATTTTTGATAGCAACTGTATCATTTCACACTCCCACCAGCAATGTGTGAAAGTACTTGTCTTCCACACCCATGTCAGCACAATGTTATAGAAATTTTGGATTATGGCCAATCTGATAGCTGAAAAATGGTATTGGACTGTAGTTTCAATTTGTACTTCGATTTTGAATAAGATTAAACATCTTTTCACAAGTTTAAGAGTCATATGTATTTCCTGTTCTGTGCATGTCTGTCCATATTCTTGCTCATTTTTCTATTGTAATTTAATGGTCTTATTGACTTGTAGGAACTTTTTACCTATTAAGGAAATTTGAGTCCTATGCAAAATGCCTCAAGGGTGGAAGCAGAGCAAGTGCCTGCCTCCCCAAGGTTGCCCTTGAGTTCTGTCATCTGAATCTCATGGCCAGACCAGTCCTTTCCAACGTCTGTTTCTTCACTTCTTTTGCTTCTGCGAACTAGTCAATATTCTGCTAATACATTACTTGCTTGTCTTGTTTTGGCTTGACATAGCAGAGTGGGTTTCAGTGGTTTAAGGAAACCCAAAGTGACCTCCCTCACCAGGCCACAATTCCAGGGGGCAGAGTGTGTGTTGGGATCTTCTCCCCCATCCATCCACGACTCTCCCACCTCCTTCCTGGTCCACGGTGACTAGTGACCTCTGACCTGTCTCTCTACATTTGGAAGGTGATGGCACTAATTAGTCTAAGAGCTTGCTTGTGCTTCTGGCTCTGGGAATGTGGACACAGGTATTCCTTGATAATTATGACCCAGAATCTCAAAAGTCAGGGCCCTCGGGAGCCTGGCAGATGCACACAGTGCAGAGGGGATGCTTACCCAGGTTGCACTGAGTTAGGGGCACCATGGACCTGGGACTCGGGTTCTGGGTTGCTGCTGAATGCTTGTTCTTTCAGCAAACATTCTTGAATGGCTGGGTCCCACAGCATGCAAACAAGGCCACTCAACAAGTAGACACCTAACCCTGTCTGAAATACCACCCTAGTAACTGCTGGGCAGGGGCAAGGAGGCCACAGGGAGTGTCCCAGTGTGGAGGGGCATCAGTCAGGAGACCATTCCTGACCAAGACCAGGTAAGAATGGAAACAACAGGGCCAAGTGCATGTGCGGCAAGGGGAACAACAGGAGAAAGGCCCGGAAGCTGGAGGATCAGGGAGCCGCTGGCACAGAGCGCGCAGGCGCAGAGTCCAGCAGGGTGTGGCTGAAGGTGGGAGGGACCCAGGTCAGGGCCGAGGCTCTTGACGGCTGCTTCGGCCAGAGACTGGCGTTTGTTCTGAGTATTCATGGGAACAACTGGGCATCCCTCAAAAGTTTTACCCTACATGCTGTGAGGGTGGGGTGGGGGGGAAAGGTGTGTTTATCATATACACTACCACCCCTTAGAGCACCCAAAAAGGGCCTTAAAGATCGCAGCAGATGCTGTTCTAGAACTATCTCACCCAGGAAGAGATTTATCTGTGACACGTTGTGCCCCAGGGGCAACTGCAGAATTAACCCCATCTCCCGACCCTGGAGCCCACAGGCAACACCTGGTGGGAACTGGTGGGTCAGTACCCTGGCTGGCTGGTGGTGGGCTGGGATGACTCAGCCTCTGCAGGGGAGGAAGCCCCAGGTGCCCCCAGCAGAGGCCTGCCAGTAATGAAGCCCAGCTGGCCCCTCTCCTTCCTTGCCTAACTCGCACACTCCCCTACCGGTGCTTTTGGGACCACCTGCGTGTGAGCCGCCTGCACTCAGAATCTCTCAGGCTGGGAGAACCCTAACTAAGGCAGAGCTCTTGCAAGACACCTAATGCTCCACCCCAGCCATTTTGTGTAATTTGATATTCCTGACCTGTCAATTCTACAAAAGGCAGGGACCCCATTCTTCCTGCTGAGCCCACTGCTGGCTGCCCAGCCCAGCCTGGTGAGTCTTGTTGGTGTGGTTTCTGCAGAGAAGGCCAGGAGCCTGAGGGGCTGAGGCTGGGGAGTGGCTCAGCCAGATCTCCTGGGCCCGGAGCTCTAAGGCCTTTGCCAAGTAACCTGGGCCCTTGTGTCAGGACAGGCTGTGCACAGGGCTGAGTGCTGTCCACTGCGATCTTGCCAAACTGGCTAGGGAACCAGTCTGGCTGGGCGCAAGGTCCCTGGGACCCCAGTCCGCCTACTCAGAGGCTAGTGATGTCATACAAGGGCCACAGAGGCATTATCAGTCCCAGGCCCCTCCTTGAACAGGGCCCACTCCAGATCTGCCTGGGTGCCACCCTGTGGGACAGTCCTCAGCTCTTCAAAAAACCCAGAATGGACTCCAGACGTTTGTCACCACTCAGCACATCCAGTGTGCCAGATGCCTGGCTGGGGCTGAGGACACAGTGATGGACAGCAGGGATCTGCTGCCTGGTCTGGGACCTTGGGCACAGAGGACAGCCAGGTATGGAGGAAGTATTCCAGGTCCTCAAAACCTTGCATGCTGGACAGGAATGAGTGGGCAGCTCTGAGGGCCAAGGACCAAGGGGCAGGTTTAGGGGGCAGGTGGGGGAGGTTCTCTGAGAGGGTGGCCTGCAGAGACTGGTTCGTACAGGGGGCCAGCAGGTACAAAGGCCCCGAGGCAGGAAAGATTAGGCATTTTGAGACTCCAGAAGGGAGGCTACAAGGAAAGAGATGAGGCAGAAGGGATGAGAGAAGAGGAAAGCAGAACTGGGCTGCAGGGCCAGGAAGCCCTGGGAGGCCAGCCAAGGGCAGTGGTGGGCGAGCTGAGAAGCCACTAGTGGGGCTTGAGCAGAAAGGTGGCAGGAAGTGAATCTGTGTTTTTAATGGACTCCTGTGCAGTCGGGACTCGGGAGCTGACCGGAGGAAGGTAGGCTGGTGGCGGGCCTGCAACAGCTCCGAGGACTCGGCCTGGGGAGGGGTGTGGGCATGTGGCACACTTACACAGCTCTCTGTGAGTGATCTTCCCACTTCCCACTGCTGCCCTCTGCCCACTTTACACTTGAGGCCCAGAGAAGGGAAGGGGATTGCCCAGGTTTCCCCAAATGGCACCTGCGTAAGTCTGCTGGCACCACAGCTATTCTCTGCCCACCACCACACCTTGAGATGGCTGCTGGGGCACCTTAATGCAGCAAGTGCCTGGGTCTGTCAGGAAGAAGCACTGGCAGAGGAGAGGGGAACCAGGACAGGGCTTCACTGGCATCTGCCTGGTGGCCCTGAGTTTCACAGCACCTGTGGGCACAGCGTGGTGCCCGAGGCCCAGTGGCCCTACCTCTCCATGTACTCATGGTTCTTGGTTGGTTTAATGTGCTCGTTGCCTGGTCAGGAAGCAAGAACACTCAGGAACAGCAAACAAGGACTGGGATTAACAGGCAAGTGTAGGAATGAAGTCGGGTCTTGCCCTTCTCCGTCAATGGGCTCCTCATGGCCCAACCCCAGCACAAGGCCCTGCACGATCTGACCTCGGATCTGATACCCCATGCTGCCCTCACCTCCTCCTGCTTCCCATGTCATCCCACAGCTGCTAGGACAGCCTGTTTAACCCCTCTGGCCCCCAGACTCCTCACCTGGAAGGAGACCCTTCTTGCAAGTCTGGGTAAGCAGGGGCTAAAGCGCATCCCTCAGGCTCCTTGCCCTGAGCTCTTTCAACTCTTTCTGGAGCCTCATCACCACCCCTGAAGCCTCAGGGGCTTCTGAGGGGCCACGACCCCGACGTGGGCCCCAGTGGTCTGATGCACACTGTTTCCAAGAGGTAAGGCCGAGAGCGAGGTTCTCTTGCAGTAATAAACTGTCATGACCCGGGGCGAGTCCCTGTCTGCTCCGAGCCTCAGTTTCCCCTTCGGTGAGGAGGTGGATGAGGGTCCTGTCCAGCTCTGAAAGCCAGCGATTTGGGGAGGCAAAGATACATTCCCAGAATACCTTGCAGCCTTGAGAACACCCACGAGCTTTGTCCCAGTGATCCTGAGAAAGGCCAAGCTGATGAGGCTGTGGGTGGCCGGATGACAGCATTCTTGGGACTCAAATGAAGTGGGAGGGCCGACCCGCTCAGCTGTGCGTCATTGGGGCAGTGGGGGCAGCAGCCGTTCAGGCCGCGGGCAGCTGGGGTGCCTGCCCTCCTGGCATTTCAGTGATGCTGTGGGGCACTGGCCACAGCAGGGAGGCCACACAGCCGCTTTGCAAGGCTTTGGGGAAAGAATGCCAGTCTTGTGGGAGGGGAGACTGGTTTGCCCCCTCCCATGCCATCTTGGCTCCCTCTGAGGCTCATTCCTGAGGAGCACTATTGTACCTTCTGTCCAGTCTGGGCGTGGGGTGGCCATGGCCCTTTCACTAGACCAGGGTGAGCAAGGCCCTCTGTTTCTGCCACCTCCAGCCAACATGAGGATCTGAAGCAGCTTCTCCTCTAGGCTTTGGGCTGCATTTCACCCACTAGGCCTGAAATTCTAGTATCGATCACAGTTCTTGCTGGGTATAGTCTCACCTTGGGTTAAAAGTGGAGATTTCCCTTCTGTGAAATACAAGCAGTATGGAATCCAAACGGACTCAAAGAAACATAGCCGGCTTTGCTCCAATGCCTGGTCACCACAGCCCAGAAAAGTTTCCAGGACAAGCAGAGCCGAGAGAAGGAGCTGGTGTGGGAGGCCCCAACTGCCCAACATGGGCCCTTCAGTCTGCTCCTGTGGGCTGGGAGGCGGGGATCCAGGATCAGCTGAGCTGGGACATCCCGGGGCCTTTGGTGTGCTAGTGGCGCTGAGTTAACCAGGAGGATGTGAGGCACAGAATAAACTTGGCCCTGCCTGTGCCCCTCGCTGGCGTGGCTCTGCCCCTCTGAGCACTACTTTTCAAATAGGGGTAATTAGAGCCCTCCTCTCTGAGCTGCTTGGAGGATTGAACTACAATGTAAAGCCCAAAGCTGGCACCTGGCACACACTCAGTGCTCAATAAACAGCAGTGGCATGTTAGATCACACCAGGGCCCCCACACACATTTCCCTCTGAGCCCTCGTACCTTGGGGCATGCCCTGGGCTACTCTCCAGTGGGAGGAGGTGACGAGGGGCCTGTGGCTGGTGGGTGGCAGTGGCATGGCCACTTCATGCGGGAGTGAGCTCCTGTCAGTGCATGGGACAGGCTCACAGTCTGGCTGGACTGAGCCTCCAGGTGGGGAGAGGGGGAGGCCGCAGTGGCTGGGGACGTAGGCAGGGCCGAGGGAGCCTGGCCAGCCCCTTCTCACAGCAGGCAGGCCCACCACTCTCAGGAAGCAGTCCACACTCTCTCTGAGCGCTGAGCTTGGGCTGGGTGTGCCAGAAAGTCAGCCAAGAATGCAGCAGACATGGTCCCCATCCTTGCGGGGCTGACGTCCAAGGCAGTCAGGTAGCATTCCTGCCATGTGACACAGGGGTCAGTGGGAAGCAGGAAGTCGGGAAAGAATGTCCTGGGGCCCTTTTTCTCTTTCCTTAATATTAGACTCATCCTCTCTATCAGTATGTCATCAACTATTGTCTCCCTTCAATGACTGGAGATTCATCCTCTGTCTCTTCCAATATATACTTTTTTTTTTTTTGAGAGGGCATCTCTCATATTTATTGATCAAATGGTTGTTAACAACAATAAAATTCTGTATAGGGGATTCAATGCACAATCATTAATCAACCCCAAGCCTAATTCTCAACAGTCTCCAGTCTTCTGATGCATAACAAACAAGTTCTTACATGGTGAACAAGTTCTTGCATAGTGAATAAGTTCTTACATGGTGAACAGTGCAAGGGCAGTCATATCACAGAAACTTTCGGTTTCGATCACGCATCATGAACTATAAACAATCAAGTCAGATATGATTATTCATTTGATTTTTATACTTGATTTATATGTGAATCCCACATTTTCCCCTTATTATTTTTTTGATAAAATGCTGAAGTGGTAGGTAGATGCAAGATAAAGGTAGAAAACATAATTTAGTGCTGTAAGAGGGCAAATATAGATGATCAGGTCCAATATATACTTTTAAAATGTATCAGATATTAAAAAATGATGGAACCTTTCAAATCGGAAAAATACAAAGAAACATAGCAGAAGTCCATTGTTCTTACCACTTGGATTTAACAAAAGTGAGTGTTTCGCCATACTTCAGATCTTTCCACACAGTGGAATACTATTCAACCAGAAAAAGGAATGAAGTGGACGGACGTGGAGCACACTGCGTGGGGTGAGAGAAGCCAGTCGCAGAAGAGCGCGCACTGTGTGATCCCGTACATGTGGGATTTGCAGGACAGGAAGTGGGTTCAGCAGCCGTCAGGGGCTGGCAGCAGCGAGGGTGAGGAATGCCTGCTCCCGGGTGCAGGGTCTCCCTCTGGGGTGAAGGAAATGCTCTGGAACTAGATCATGATGGGAGTTGCACAGCCCTGGGAACAGAATGAAAAGCACTTGAATTCAGCACACTTTAAATTAGTGAATTGTGTGATGTGTGAGATATATATCAGTAAAGATGTATATGAGTTTCCCAGGGCGGCCGGAACAAAGACCCGCAGATGGGGGGCTTAGGAGACAAACCCTGGGGCGCCGTCCGGAGGGTGGAGGGCCAGGGGAAGAGTTGCAGGCTGGTTCCTCCTGAGGCCGTGAGGAAGGAGCCGCTCCCGGCCCCTCGCCTTGGTCGGCCGGCTCAGGAGTCACGTGGTCGTCCCTCTGTGCGAGTTGGACTGTGTCCAAATCTCCTCTTTGTAAGGACACCAGCCATGCTGCTGACTTTGTGATGACTTGATCATCTCTGTAGGGACCCCACCTCCAGCAGGGTCGCATTATTATCATTCTTTTGCTGTGGTTATTGATGCAGTTTGGGAGGATCCGCAGCAAGAAGGATGAACCTGAGGTGCCGGTGGCGGTCAGACTCCAGGCCTGCAATACCCCCAAGCCCTCCAAGGAGGTCCGGTCTGACACCACCTTGTGCCAGGTGATCCCAGCACCAAGCTCCAGAGGAGCCCGCCTGGCCCCGCAAAGGCCACAAAGCCCCAGAGGCTATAGGACCAAGCGCAGGTAGGAAGCAGGAGCAGAGGAGGAAAATGAAAACCCAGCTTCAGAGACCCTCAGGGAGGCCCACTCAGGCTCGAAGCTTGTTCGCTGGCTGGAGCAGGCCAGAGCTATGTCTGGAGTGCTCAGGGCGGACGGGGAGGCAGGGGTGCCTGAGCTGTCTTCTCCACTCAAGCCCTGTCCTGTGGGTACCTGACTCCATCCCCCACATGGGGGTTCCCATCTCCCCAGGGCCAGGACCAACCCTGGGGCCCTGCTGAAAGTTAGCCCCCCCCCCGACCCCAGGGGACTGTGGCCATGGACCGACGGAGGCCTGGGGAGGGCGGCCAGGTCATGGTCAAAGCCACCGCGAGGCTCCTGCCTCTGTGGAGCCTCCTGAGAGAGCAGCCTTCATGGCCAGCTGTCCTGAAGGGCAGCTGGCCCACACGCCTGTCAGAGGCACCCTCCCCCGCGTGGGCTTCCGCACTGTGTGGCCAACGGCCAGCTCTCTCGGGTGGGTTTCCTTAAAGGCAGGCTTGGAGACAAGGATTTGGGCCCAAGTTGTTTTGGGAGGAGATAACCACAAGAACCAGTAGGAGAGGGGGAAGTAGATGGTGGAGAGAGGGAGGGCGGCCAGGAGGATGTGTGCATGGGCTGCCACAGGCTCACTCCCCCTGCGGACCCTAAAGACCAGCGGGGCACAGTCAGCTCGCCAACAGTGAGGTAGGGATGCTGGTGTGCATGCACTAGCCCACAGCCTCACTGGCATTGACTCCCAGCACCTCCATCTGCCCCTCATGTGGTGACAGGCCCAGAGGGACCTGTGGAACAGCAGGGGGGCAGCCATGGGTCCTGGCCCTAGCGTTTATCAGCTGCACAGGCTCCAGCCAGTCATGGGGCAAGTGTGTTGACTGAGCAAAGGAACTGAATGTCAACTCAGGAGAGAAAGGGTAAGTCTGTATGGTTCCCTGCTCTGTCCGCACAGCCCAGCCCAGCCCTTGGTACATGGGGCACTTAGTAAATATTTGTGCAATGGGTGTCTCCTGGCCAGTGGTCTAAGTCTCCCATTATTGATAATAGCTACCAATTACCAAACACTTCCCTGAGCCATGCACGGTGCTGAGAGCTTCACGGCCCGGTGACCCCGAGGGCCCCCTTGCTGCAGCAGGGGTGCTGGTGTTATCCTGCTATCGGGAGGTGCTGGCCCAGTGTGGCAGAGAAGGCACCTAACTAAGGCCACGAGGTCCAAGTACCAGCAGATTTTCAGAGCCTGTATATCTTTCTTCAGTTATTCATTTCTTAAAAATTGTGTATATCGTCCATATCATGATGTACATGAGTCGAGGCACTCAGCTGCATAAATCATGCACATGTGTGTGGCCATCAAGCCCCAGAGGGGGTCCAGCAGCCCAGCAGCCTGCCCTGTGCGTGCCCCTCCTCTACCAGAGGCACAGCTAGTCTGACTTCTAGCACCATAGATTTGTTTGTCTCTTCTTTAAATTTTTGCTAATGGATTCAGGTAGAATGTTCTCTTCTGTGACTGGCTTCAGGCACTCAGCATTGTCTCTTCATCCATATTGTGGCATTTATCAGCAGTTTATCTTCCAATGTTGAGCACGAATGTGTGTGTGATAATATTATGGTGTGACTATACTACATTCCCCTGTCTCCAGTTCTTGACTATTACAAATAAAGCCACCATGGACATTTTTGTATGTCTCTCTTGGTGGACATAAATGCCCATTTCTGTTGTGTTCATGCCCAGGAGCTGAATGACGGCTGTTGAGTGCACATCTATGTAGTTTTAGTAAGTTGTACCAAACATTTTTCCAAGGCGCTTCACCATTTGGAACCTGTGCTTTTCACCCTCATGGTGCGCTGTGTTGTGTGGACTCTCTGGACCAGGCCCTGTGGAAGGTTAGGTGATTTTGATGTGATCTCTCCCATGCAAGGAACTTACAGTCAAGGAGGAGAGATGCACATCGTGCAGCAATAACCATGCAAATGAGACTCCAAGGGCCACTGTGCTCTTCTCCAGCATGTGACACTTTACAGTTTGCATCCAAGGTTGCACCCTCCCACAACAACCAACCCCTGGGGCTGGGGGTGGGTGGCATGACTACCCCCCTCAACCTTTACAGATGAGGAAAAGTAAGGAGAAGTGACTTTCCCAAGGTCACAAGCAAGAGCGGAACAGAGCTGGGATTCAGCCTCCAAACCCCATGCTCCCCCAGCCCCACCACGTGGTCCCGGAGTGAGGTCTGGTGTCCGCTGTGATTCTGAGAGCTGTTTGGCACACTGTTTAAGAGCAAGGAGGATCTGGAGCTGTGCTGGATGTAAGTCCTGGCTCCCCGACTCACTAGCTCTGGTGCACTTGGACATGTTACCTGGGCCTCACTTTCCCCATCCTCAAAATGGGTGTAATGACAACACTTCCTCCTCCAAGAGCTGAGAGGATTAAATGAGCCAGTGCCTAGAATGGTCCTGGCGCTGGGTGTTCTATTTCACTTTCTCTGTAACAGTCATACCTGTGTGTGGAGGAAAAGTCAGATAGTGTTGGGGACTCTGGTCCTTATTCCTGGGGCTGCTCAGACTGCCACAGCATGGTGGGGGCCCGCTTCCCTCCAACCCCTTCTCCAGCTGCCCCCTCAGCTGGGACAGACCTGCCTCTGGGTAGAGCTGTTCAGGAAGGAATCCTGGTGGATCGCTAACAACGAGTCACTTCAGAGAGGCTGCCCAGGTCCACCCAGCCAAAGTAAGCCCAGGGAGTGGCCAAGGGCAGGTCTGCTGCCTGGTGGCTGGCAGAGCCACAGGGGCACCCAGGGCTCCATTGGCCACCACGGGAGGGACTTCCAGCTGTGCTTCTTTCCTTAGCTGTCTAAGTCTGGGCTGCAGGGCCACCACTGAACACCTCAGGCAAGCGCCCTCGAGCACCAGTCCTACTTGAGGACCTTAGGTTGGTGGGCTATCTGAGATAGGAGGTGGGGTGGGACAGGGGGCTGGTGCTCATTCAGAGGCCTGAGGTCGAATGGGGAGCTGTCACTTGGCAAGGCAATGTGCCCGCAGCCCTGCCCAGTGCCTGCTCCTCCGGTATCCCCAGCGGGCCTCTTGAGGCCAGCCCACTGCACACTGCCTGTACAGCCTCTGGTGAGTGACCTCGCCTCTCCCAGCCTCAGTGTCTGGATCCAGCCAACAGGAGTGTGGACCCCTCCCTGAGGGCCACTGAGCAGGTGCAGTGAGTACATGGAGTGAGGTGTGTGGCACACAGCAGGCTCTGTACGAATGGTGACTATCACCTAATGCTCACCTGAGCCATCCATCCATCCCAAAACCTCCTGGGAGCCTCTCCTGTGTGCTGGGCCCAGTCACAGACACAGGGGTACAGAAGGAAAGAAGATAAACAACAGCTCTGTCCTCATGGGGCTGACATCCTCATACAGGAGACAGATTTCAGAGTGATGGTGCCGGTTTGGGTAGAGGGGCTTGGGGGAAGAACATTACAGGTAGGGAGGTGGACAAGTGCAAAAATCTTGAGGGGACTGAGCTTTGAGCCTTTGAGGAACAGACAGCAGGTCTCTGCAGCACCTCTGCATGGAGCAGTTTGCCTGTCCCATGCCTAGGGACCATGGGGGTCTCTTCCACTGGAATTCACGGCTATGCCATCAGCTCTTTAAGCAAAGGAAGTTCTTCCTAAGATCAAACCAAAGTCCCTCCCATCACGACTGAAGCCTAAGCCTTGTCTTCTAGGGCCCCTGGACCTAGAGCCAGCTGGTTCCTCCTGCCTCATCCTCACCAGCTCCAAGGTAACTATCAGTGGGGGAAAGTTAATGAAACACAAATGTCCTGAAGCATAGTCCCACAAGCCCCAGGCAACCAGACAGCCTAGCTCATCAGCCTGGGGATGCAGTGAGGGGGAAAAGCCCTAGGAAAGGCTGGAGCCCAGGGCATGGAGGGAAGCCCGGAGGAACCGGTCTGGGAGCTCTGTACAGGGAAGGGAGGGTTTTCAGGCAGCCTGTAGGGGTGGGGAGAGATGTAGGTGGCTGGTACTAATGAGGATGTTCAAATCAGTGCCCAGTAACCAAAGGAGAGGAGGGAGCCTGCAGATCAAGAAAATCTTAGCTTCAGGTGTGGATTGACCCAGGACTCTAAGGTTTGGGATATGACCAGTGGCTCTTCCCTTCCCCACTTGTCACCTGAATTGTAGTCACCTTCCTTCCTGTGATGGAACAGCATTCTCACCAGCCCCCTTGACTCTTGACCCTGACCGTGAATCCATTCTCCACATATTTTAAAAACCATGTCACTCCCTGCTTCACCCATGGCTTCTAATGCCCTTAAAATAAAGTAGAAACTCCTTATCAAGGTTTCAGAGGTCCCTGCTGACTCCCCAGCCCCATCTCCCTGTCTCTTCCGTCCCTGAACACACTATGCTCATTCCCACCTCACAGACTGTGCACCTGCTGCCCCTCCTTCAAATGTACTTCAAATGGTACTTCATCAGATGTCCTTCCCATCAGGACAGCTCAAATGTCATGGCCCTTGGCCGTCCATGCCCCAGCCCCCCATTCACTCTCCAGACCAGAACTGTCCAGTGGGACTTTCTTAGGTGGTGGAAATATCCCCAGTCTGTGCTGCCCAGCACAGTACCCACCAGCCCCATGTGGCTAATGAGCACCTGAAATATGGTTATTGAGATGGAGGAACTTTTCATTTTACTTAACTGAAACTTAAATGTGGCTAGTAACTACTGTGCTGGGCGGAGCACCTCTGATGTACCACAGGGTGTATGTTTGTTTCATGTCCCTCAGAACTGTTTGACATTAATCTCTATTGTTTCTCTCTCTGACTAGAGTATAAGCTCCATAGGGGTAAGGATTGTATCTATTTTGTCTATTGCTGTATCCCCAGAGCTTGGAACTGGGCCTGGCTATTTAGTAGGTGCTTGAGACATAGTTGTTGAGTGAATGAGTGACTCCTATGGGCCATGATCTCTGGAGTTGCCCAGCTCGCTGAGGGAATGCTAATTCTGCCAGGGACTTGCTGTGTGACTTCAGGTCACAATCTTGCCTTCTCTGGGCTCAGTGTCTTCATCTGTAAAGCAGGAGACTATACTAGAGGGTCTCCAAGGGCCTCTCTGGGCCTAAAACTCTGAGGCTTCCTGCTTCTTTCACTCTGTCTGCCCACACTACCCCCATTTGCCCATCTCCCCAATTGTCTGTTTCTCCCCCAAAGCCTCCCAAGCCACTTTACAGGAAGGTTGACCAGACAGGCTTCCTGTACCTGAAGACTGTGTTTGGGGAATGATCAAAGCTGGGTGGCACTTATCTCCTATAAACAGATGGACTTTAGGCAGTATTTGTGGGAAATGATGAGGTGGTGGCAGGCTGGGGGTGGCTATGTCCTGGATCAAAGACTCTCCAGCTGGCCAAGGGCAAGGGGCGCCCAGGAGCCAGGCCAAGGCAGGCTGGTGGCCACGCTGTGTGTGTGCACAGGAACAGTCCCCCAGGCCCTCCAAGCCCACACCCTACATCAGGCCACGCTTGCCCTTCTCACCCTGTAGTGTCGGGGCTCAGGGACTGGCAGGAGTGCTGGACCATCCATGCTTCTGAAGTGAACTTGAAAGAACCGGACACAGTCTAATTGAGAAGCTGGTGCTGGCTGTGAGCGACTCAAATGCTGGCCTCTAACCCCCAGCATCCAACACTCACCACAGCACACACAGAGCCACTCAGCCGGACGCAGCACACAGCTACAGACGCTGACATACATGCTCCCAGAGGCACCAACACAATAGAGACATCCAGATGTGCAGCAGATCTGCAAGCAAACACAGCCAGACAGAGCACATGTGCACACATGCATTTGTGCACACTAAGTGGCAGCCCCCACAGAGACCTCGTGAACCAAAGGGTCAGAACCTAGGCATGCAGGCACCAAGCAAACCTCCACTTCCAGCCTGGCTGCACTAAGGACTGCAGGCTGGAAGAGCGGCAGCCTCTCCCTGCCCTGGCCAACTGGCTGTCCTCCAGGCCCTGGTGCAGACTGGACAGGGGTGAGGGGTGTCCAGCTGGCAGCCTGTGTTGTCTGCATCTTGCAGTCACAGCCCTCCTCTCTTTGACCATGTGATCCTTAAGGCAGGAGCTCCTCCCCATAGCTAAGTGGGCCCTAGAAATTTGTATAGCAACTTGAATTTCAGTTTATGTTGGAAAATGAGAAGATCTGTCAGGACTGGTTCCAAGTTCTGCAGGACAGCAACTGACTAGGTTCATGAAGCTGCTGCCCATTTCTGGAAGGCCATGAACGCCCCAGGTTGCCAAAGTCCCTGCAGTCCTCATCCACCTGGCCCTGCGAGGCTTCAGCTCTGGAAGCCCATGCTCCAAACTTTTGTTGTCCTGTGTTCCTGTGTGTGTATATGCTGGCACACTCACCCATTCGTGTATACACATGCCACCTTCTTAGTAATATTTTTACACAGATGGGCTCCTAAAGCAAAAACTGTGTGAGACCATACACCGAATTCCCCTTAATAATCATGGATACATTTCTATGGTAATGAATATCTACATCCTGAGCTCTTTAAAATATTAAATTTTTGACTGATTTTAAATTTATAGCAAGCAAAGCACAGTTTTCCCTTATCCTCTTCACTCCACTCCCCCAATGTGAACATTTTAGATAACCATGGTGCATTCGCCAAAACTAAAAAATTAACATTTGTAAAATATTATTAACTACTGGGCCAGATGGATTTACCTCAGAATTTTATCAGACATATAGAGAAGACATAATACCCATTCTCCTTAAAGTCTTCCAAAAAATAGAAGAGGAGGGAATACTCCCAAACTCATTCTATGAAGCCAACATCACCCTAATACCAAAACCAGGCAAAGACCCCACCAAAACAGAAAACTACAGACCAATATCCCTGATGAACATAGATGCAAGAATACTCAACAAAATATTAGCAAATCGAATTAAAAAATACATCAAAAGGATCATACACCATGACAAAGTGGGATTCATCCCAGGAATGCAAGGATGGTACAACATTTGAAAATCCATCAACATCATCCACCACATCAACAAAAAGGACAAAAACCACATGATCATCTCCATAGAGGCTGAAAAAGCATTTGACAAAATTCAACATCCATTCATGATAAAAACTCTCAGCAAAATGGGTATAGAGGGCAAGTACCTCAACATAATAAAGGCCATATATGATAAACCCACAGCCAGCATTATACTGAACAGCGAGAAGCTGAAAGCATTTCCTCTGAGATCGGGAACCAGACAGGGATGCCCACTCTCCCCACTGTTATTTAACATAGTACTGGAGGTCCTAGCCACGGCAATCAGACAAAACAAAGAAATACAAGGAATCCAGATTGGTAAAGAAGAAGTTAAACTGTCACTATTTGCAGATGATATGATACTGTACATAAAAAACCCTAAAGACTCCACTCCAAAACTACTAGAACTGATATCGGAATACAGCAAAGTTGCAGGATACAAAATTAACACACAGAAATCTGTAGCTTTCCTATACACTAACAACGAATCAATAGAAAGAGAAATCAGGAAAACAATTCCATTCACCATTGCATCAAAAAGAATAAAATACCTAGGAATAAACCTAACCAAAGAAGTGAAAGACTTATACTCTGAAAACTACAAGTCACTCTTAAGAGAAATTAAAGGGGACACTAATAAATGGAAACTCATCCCATGCTCATGGCTAGGAAGAATTAATATCGTCAAAATGGCCATCCTGCCGAAAGCAATATACAAATTTGATGCAATCCCTCTCAAATTACCAGCAACATTCTTCAATGAATTGGAACAAATAATTCAAAAATTCATATGGAAACACCAAAGACCCCGAATAGCCAAAGCAATCCTGAAAAAGAAGAATAAAGTAGGGGGGATCTCACTCCCCAACTTCAAGCTCTACTACAAAGCCATAGTAATCAAGACAATTTGGTACTGGCACAAGAACAGAGCCACAGACCAGTGGAACAGATTAGAGACCCCAGAAATTAACCCAAACATATATGGTCAATTAATATTTGATAAAGGAGCCATGGACATACAATGGCAAAATGACAGTCTCTTCAACAGATGGTGCTGGCAAAACTGGACAGCTACATGTAGGAGAATGAAACTGGACCATTGTCTAACCCCATATACAAAGGTAAACTCAAAATGGATCAAAGACCTGAATGTAAGTCATGAAACCATTAAACTCTTGGAAAAAAACATAGGCAAAAACCTCTTAGACATAAACATGAGTGATCTCTTCTTGAACATATCTCCCCGGGCAAGGAAAACAACAGCAAAAATGAGCAAGTGGGACTACATTAAGCTGAAAAGCTTCTGTACAGCGAAAGACACCATCAATAGAACAAAAAGGAACCCTACAGTATGGGAGAATATATTTGAAAATGACAGATCTGATAAAGGCTTGACGTCCAGAATATATAAAGAGCTCACACGCCTCAACAAACAAAAAACAAATAACCCAATTAAAAAATGGGCAGAGGAACTGAACAGACAGTTCTCCAAAAAAGAAATACAGATGGCCAAGAGACACATGAAAAGATGCTCCACATCGCTAATTATCAGAGAAATGCAAATTAAAACTACAATGAGGTATCACCTCACACCAGTAAGGATAGCTGCCATCCAAAAGACAAACAACAACAAATGTTGGCGAGGCTGTGGAGAAAGGGGAACCCTCCTACACTGCTGGTGGGAATGTAAATTAGTTCAACCATTGTGGAAAGCAGTATGGAGGTTCCTCAAAATGCTCAAAATAGAAATACCATTTGACCCAGGAATTCCACTTCTAGGAATTTACCCTAAGAATGCAGCAGCCCAGTCTGAAAAAGACAGATGCACCCCTATGTTTATCGCTGCACTATTTACAATAGCCAAGATATGGAAGCAACCTAAGTGTCCATCAGCAGATGAATGGATAAAGAAGATGTGGTACATATACACAATGGAATATTACTCAGCCATAAGAAAAAAACAGATCCTACCATTTGCAACAACATGGATAGAGCTAGAGGGTATTATGCTCAGTGAAATAAAGCAGGCAGAGAAAGACTAGTACCAAATGATTTCACTCATATGTGGAGTATAAGAATAAAGGAAAACCGAAGGAACAAAACAGCAGAACCCAAAAGATTCATAGAAGCCAAGAATGGACTAACAGTTACCAAAGGGAAAGGGACTGGGGAGGATGGGTGGGAAGGGAGAGATAAGGGTGGGGAAAAAGAAAGGGGGCATTACGATTAGCATGTATAGTGTAGAGGGGGCACGGGGAGGGCTGTGCGACACAGAGAAGACAAGTTGTGATTTTACAGCATCTTACTATGCAGATGGACAGTGACTGTGAAGGGGTGTGGTAGGGGGACTTGGTGAAGGGGGGAGCCTAGTGAACATAATGTCTTTCATGTAATTGTAGATTAATGATACCAAAAGAAGAAGAAAAATTTTTTTTAAAAATATTATTAACTAAAGCTTATTAGGATTTTGTCAGTTCTTCCATGAATGACCTCTCCTGTTCCAGGACCCCATCTGAGATACCATGTGGCATTCAGACAAACTGAATCTTCAGCCTCCCTGATGTCTTTCCTTATTGTCATGAGACAGTTTTGAAGAGCACTGCTCAGGTATTGTATATAAAGCCTCCCCCTTAGGGTTTATCTGATGTTCTTTTCATGATGAGACTGGGGTTACAGTTCTGTGGGGAGAAGACCACAGAGGTGAGGTGCTCCTCTTTCATCAGATAGAGGGACCTGATAACCACCGATTTGTCACCACTGAGGTTATGGTAAGGGAGCATCTGCTGGGTTCTATACCATAAAAATACCATTTTTCTCCTTCCATTCTTTGGATGCCAGTCATGAAGTCCACACCACACTCAAAGGGAGGGGCATGAAGGTCTGCCTCTTTAAAGGGGAACGCCTATATGTGCTATTACAACCCGATTTTAAACAAAAGGACAATGTTCCATTTACTGCTCTGCCATCATTTAGCAGGCACCCTAATGTTACATGTTTCTGTGGCTTTCGGTTTTTTCTTTTACAAAGCTGCAAAGGATGCTGTAGCTCAATCTCAGAGTCAATAAATCTTTTTCAAGCAACTTCTCTGTAACAGGCCCTGAATACTCTGGTGAACAGTGTCTGTGGACCTCTTTCATTTTGTTTTCTTGGAATAAATTCATGGGTTGAAATTGCTGGTCAAAAGATAAGCATATGTTTAAGGCTTTTGATAAGTGTCACTAAACAAACCTCCAGGAAAGTTGTATAGTCTGCCCTCTGGATTTACATTTTTTTCTTTTTCAAACTTTTTTGTTTGTTTGTTTGTTTTACACATTTTATTTTATTTATTTATTTATTTATTTATTTTAATTTTTTTTAGAGGGCATCTCTCATATTTATTGATCAAATGGTTGTTAACAACAATAAAATTCAGTATAGGGGGGTCAATGCTCAATGTACAATCATTAATCCATCTCAAGTCTAATTCTCGTCAGTCTCCAATCTTCTGAAGCATAACGAACAAGTTCTTACATGGTGAACGAATTCTTACATAGTGAATAAAT